TAATTACTGTTCTGTTAAGTTATTGCATTAATTTGATTACTGTTATCACACAAAAATGCCACTGGATGCAACTGGAGCCGCAAGAGCCGTAGCTTTTGCTGATGCTGGGTATAGCCAACGTCGCATTGCTCGGATGCGTTGTGTACCTCAAACCACTGTACGGGATGCTATCAGGCACTTTCGGGAGACGGGTTCCAACAAGCGGAGACCGAGACAAGGCCGTCATCGGTGCACATCTGCTCGAGAGGATCGTTTCATTGTGAACAATGTGCTGAAAAATCGCTTCACCACTGCTCCCGAGGTGATAACTAGCGTCTTTGAAGTGCGAAATGTCAGCGTAAGGGAACGGACGGCGAGAAGAAGGTTGGCAGAGAGGAACCTGACTGCATTACGTCCTGCGCGCGCCCCAGAATTGCTCCCACAGCACCGTAGAGCGCGACTTCAATTTGCGCGAGAATACGCTGACTGGACTACGGACCGATGGAAGGACGTTCTGTTTTCAGATGAAAGCAGAATAGCCCTACGAGGTCCAGATGGGTGTCAGCGAGTGTACAAACGACCAAATGAAAGGTTTGCTCCGTGTACAATAGTGGAAACTGTGGGTTATCAGAGAGGTTCAGTAATGGTTTGGGGGGGCATCAGTTATGTCGCTCGTACCGACCTCGTAGTGCGTGATAGAGGTAGTGTTACTGCACACAGTTAACTGGAGAAGGTTTTGTAAGACCACGCCGTGACATTTGCACCATTTATTGGTGACAATTTTCAATTCATGCACGACAATGCCCGATGCCACGTCGCTAGAATAGTGACCCAGTACCTGGACGAGGTCGGTATACGAACATTACCGTGGCCAGCACGCAGTCCTGACCTCAATCCAATTGAACACATCTGGGACAACCTTAAAAGACGGGTTCGAGCAAGGGTTCCTGCACCAATGACTATTGGAGAACTCAAGATTGCTGCAGTAGAAGAGCGGCACAACATCCCTCAGTCTGACATCCAAGATGTCATTGATGGACTTCCAAACCGACTGCAAGAAGTCATCAGAGCCCGAGGAGATAATACCCATTACTAAAAGTCTCTAGACGACCACAGAAAATTAAAAATTAACAATATTGTAAATCTATGCTTTTCAACAAAAATCACTAAAAATGATTTTTTTTTATTTAAATGGTGAATAAATGCAGTTTTTTGCATTATTACACAGTGTTAAAATGACAAGATGTGCCTAGTTTAAAAATAAAATATCAGACTTTCCCAGTTATAGACAGCATACGAGAAAATCCAGAAAATCAAGGTGGGCGGTTAAATGTGCCTGTGAGTGTATTATATAAAAAGAAATTAACAACTTGAAATGCAAACTTTTAATGTAGAAGGAAAATAATGGGACCAACATGTCCTATCTAAAGTAAAACCACAATAACAAACGTTAAATACTTATACCTAATATAATGTAGCTACCTATAAAAAATGCGGGGTGTCCGTCTGTTGTGAGACGTTATCCCGCATTCCAAGGAAACGTAACCTACAGAATATTAATTGAAGTCAACATAAAATGTATGTATTTTTTGGTTATTTTGTATAACTAGATATTTGACGAGTAGCTTACCTAACCTTTACATGAAACTTTAAACAGAGAAATTACTTACTGATATAGTAAGAGTTCGAAAGAGGTTCGAAGAGTATTGTGTATCACAGTAATCACACTGTAATATTATAAAAATGTGAAAATTTCTTTATGTGGCTGTTTTTCCGCCAATCACGCTGAAACTACTGAACGGATTTTGATGAAATTTTGTATACAGGCAGGATTTTTTTTAAGGGGGAAAAATCATCGAATGACTGCTCCCGCCTGGGTGAGGCGGGAGGGAGTGTCAGACTCTTACTGACTAAAAACCACCCCGTTCCTTCTCCTGCACGTCTCGAGCCAGAGCCCCGGTTACCCGTTAGGTTCTCCGCGATGTTAGGTTCTCCAGGATAGGAGCAGACTTAGGTGATGGGATACTTTTACCCCGATTAAATGCTCCGATAGGATAAAACAGGAATCATATTCTACGCGGAGGAAGTCGCGGGCATCAGCAACTTGCTTAATAAACTCTGATTTTCTTAGAGATAAGTACTTTTTACATGCAAACAAACAATTTATTATATTTTATATCTATGTAATCATTTAACATAGACTGGTTCTCAATGCATCCCTATTGCGCACTTTCAAACATCATCATGACTTTACTAATGAGTGGTGATGATTAACAACTACATTTGAATCATTTGTGTCCCATTAGTATTATAATGCTACTGTTTCACTACAATATTTTGCAATAGGACAAGTATTAGATCTTGTATGTTAATCTGTTAAAACAATCTACTTAGTCACATATCATTAGAATTTAATGTGTCACGCAACTTATAAGTATGGCGTCTAAAGAGATGGAGACGAAAAAAGCGTAATGAAAAAAGTTGCTGAACTTAAATGTAAATAAATATGAAGAAAAGGGATGAGTAAAGAAAATATTAAACGGTTTGTATGATAGAAGAAACCAGAGTTTGTGAGAGGATGACATCTGATATGGAAGAAGATGACGCAATGTCAAATTCAAATGCATTTGCTGTTTGCCATAGTAAGTTCAATTTTTAAAATTATCATTTAGACTAATATCACGGTAACAGACACGTGGGGTGTACAATCTTTCTTTACAAACAATGTCAAAAAAGCAATTAAAAGCAAATTCCTTGTAGTACACAGAATAGTCAGAGCAACAATAGAATAACATAACATAAGATCATGCCTTTTATCCCCCGAGTTCCATGCAATACGGGGTGAGCCTATTGCCATATACTGGGCACAATTCCAGACTCCGTGCTACTAATGAGAAATTTTTAAAAGACCCTACATACTTTGCCCGACGCGGAAATCGAACCCGAGTCTCCTTTGTCCTGTCGCACTTGCGACCACTCGGCCAACAAGGCAGGCAGTAATAGAATAGTTAAATACCTTTAAAGAAAATAAAAATAAATGTGATAAGTTTAATAAGAAGACTAAACTTGCAGCTTACCACCTACCACATATATTTCTGCACTACCCAAAAGATGACTGGCAGAGAATGCTGTTAGCATTAAGTCTTCCTTATGCAATTGTATAGAACTTAAATAAATAAATAAACTTATCATATTACCTACAAACACGTAGGTAGATCACTAGGACAACAGTGGTCCATTAGTTCTTTTGTCAACACAGATGCTAAATAATGACGAACAAGCTAAAAACTATATTTAGTTTAAAAACATACAATATATTTTCTTTCTCACAAAATTAAATACTTTCGACCATATATTAATTTGAAATATCGTGTGACGTCACAGCGTGCCACATTTTGTAGCACGTTATGACGTAACGACCTCCATTTTATCAAAGTATTGCAACTTAATACGAGAAAATAAAAAATACGTGTTTAATATTTTTTCATTATCTAACTGGCGAACTAATTAGATTTTTAATTTTGATACCCAGGAAACTACCTAATTCACGCTTTTATGCGCCATCTTTGGTCGTAAATGGTATTTCTATTTACCATAATGGACACGTAATGAGTCAATTCACTATCATGTCATAAGGAAAATTACCTCAAAGTGTTATGTTAATAACCTTATATACAATACGCCTGGGTTTTATTCCTTCTTAGGGGCAAAATAGTATTGTATACGTACGTCATAATGCAGGATAATAATTACATAATGTTTTTTTGACAGACGTATAATCCTTTGCTCTTATTTAACAATCTTGACCATCCAGATTGTACTCTTCAAAGTAACATTTCCGAAAAACATCGAGACAAAAACGTCATTTCTTTTAAGAAAGATACCATTTAAAAGACACAGCTAATCTACAAATCGATAAACCAAGTTATTTATCGATTAGTAAACAAGAGTTATCGACTAAACTGACTAACAGTCGAGTGTATTTAGTTATTGTCTGTATAATGTTGCAGTACACCAATGAATCATGAAGTCCGTTGAGTCAGGCCACCGCAAGCTGTGGCATACTTTACCTAAGTGAGAAGAACTAGGCTCTGGCTTGAGGTTTGACCTGCATCACAGTGTTAATTTTGTATAAAACTATATTGTTACGAATTAATAGCTAAACTGTTGTACAGCACGTAGAACAATAAAATTCCATCTATGTGCCAATTCCAGCCTTATTTTATCTGCGACAAAGTATTGATTGGATAAATGCTGAAAAGCCTATAAAAAGGCTTTAGTCTCGTGTTTATAGTTCATTGTGTATTTCTGAAATACATCATATCTATTAGTCTTGAAGGATGTTAAGATCATACCACTTGTGAAAAATTCGTTTCGCACTAAAAACAACTTCCTTTTTTAGGCAATGACTAAAGTATCGCGTATAATTTTTATATTTATCTAAGGAGATAAAAAATGTGTTAGGCATGTTCAGCCTAATAAGCAACAAATTTAAGATGTAAATGAATTCCCAGACTCACCGGACCGTATAAAATCTTAGTCAGATTCAACGCGAATTCCAATCGAGCCATTATTTGTTCGTACGGTTAACTGAAGGGGAGAAATCACAGTCGCGATGTGTGAACGCCCTTGCATTTTGTGTACAATAGTCTCTGCAACGGTTTTTAACATCTGCCGACCGGCCCTGGCGGATACTTTCGTGATATACCATTACTATTATTATTTCAAAAGCACGTCATACCTCGGACTGTGTTTTCAAACCTTTTTCTTAAACTATTGTAAGCAATCAACACAATAGCTCGACCAAATTCCCATGACAATCAAACAAAAACAAAACAAACTTTACATACGAGATAATTTGACCTCGAAGGCAACGTCACGCGCCGCGAGCACGCACCTCCGATACTCCTCGTAATGGACCAGCCCATTACGTCACTGACACCGATCATTAAACCCACCACCTTAGACACAATGTTCCCACGAATCATTCACCTATTGATGTTCTTTTTTTCTCTTTCAGGATGTCCAATTTTCAACGAACACGAAGTAAAGTTTGGTGGGGTGATTCACCGCCAAACATTGGAAGTCCGGTGGCGCAGCCCGAGTGGAACCGAAACAATCGCGCTCGAGACGATCCTGATTGGGAGCCCCAACTACCTCACTGGATAGCGAATCAGCCTGACGAACCACAAAACAATAGCGCCGATGACATCGCGCAGCCCATTCAAATGAACCAATGGCCTCTGCGTCACGGCAGTCCTGGCAGTCACAAGAGCCAGGATTCCGGTTTCTCTGACTCTGACAGCTCTCCGCCCCCATCACAGTATTATCAAGCTCCTGAAACAACGGATAATAATAAATCTTCAAGTAGCAGCGATTCTAACAACAACCAAGATATTACCGTGAAACAGGCTCCTGGTTATCAAAACACATCACCGAGCCGTGATGCTAATATTGTGATGTTGCCTGATAATGTCAGTTGTGAGATGCCGACACCCAAACCACGGCTTCGAAGTAGTAGTGTCATACAAACTCCTTACGACCTGCAGAAGTATTGCGAAATACATCAAGACGAGGAACATATGGAACTGCTGAAAGATAAGGACACAGAAAATGTAAGCAAAATTGAAAAGAATAAGAGTCCGCCACCTAAGAATATCAATAAAGATAAACTTAAGAAAGAAAATTCGCTAAATATTTTAAATAATAATTTAAACAGTAAACCTAAGGTTAAAGTCGAAAACAAAATAGACATAAAGGTTACACCTCCGAGTAACGTGAGTAACAAAGAAAACAACATTACAACCAAAAGTGCAATACAAAAAGATACCAAAGAAATACCAGATAAAAACATTAATGTTATAAGTCCTTCAAAGAAGTACCCGGCGAAGAAGTCATTCATATCTAGTACAGATAGTGACAGCACCAAAGTTATTAAAGTAGCTAAAGTAAAGGATTTAGAGACTAGCAAAAATAAATCAGACGACAGTTTAGAATATTTGAAACTGGAGGATGACAATGAAATAGCAGTAAACAATCAACCACGGGTGCGCACACCAATATCTAACGTATCCTACGTTCCTACTGAGAGGACGACTTCATCGAGGGTAGAGTACACACGAAGCTTGTCAAATGAGGATGCTACTCCCATTACCACAACTCCAAAGTTCCAAAGAAATAGACTAAACAAATCACTTAACTTCGAAGCTCAGAGGTTAGACCAGCAAATCCTTGACATACAGGAAGGATATCACTCGTTAGGTTACATAGATGAAGAACCTAACAATGACATGATGTACGAAAACGAACAAATACATAAACCAACTAATGCTATCCTTGGTAAGAATATCTTGGACAGTTTACATCTAAAACCTACCAAAAAACCAGGGCCTAAAGCTAAGCAGCGGATGGCTACCAAGACAGACAGAACGAAAGATTTATTCAGGTTATTCCCAAAGAAGGAAAAGCCTGGAGTAGTAGATGATTACGCTGGTGGCTATTTGAAGGGTAGCAGGGTTCCTGTTCTAGGTCTACCGAGGGTCAAAGAGCAAGACTCGTGGGTAATAGTCGGCCATCCCGAAGAAATGTTAATACCTCATTACAACGAAAGGCTAGTTGGTGAAGAGTGCGATTTAGTAAAAGCAGCAGAGAAGAAAGATAATGAAGATGACTTTCTCAAAAAGACGCGGCCAGTCACACCACCGCCACAGTTCCAAGACAAACAGAAGACTCCATACGAAACAGAACCTAACACGAATAAAAATCTTACACACGACTCCAAGAGGGAGAAATTAAAAGGAGAACTGGACTTCGTGGATGTACAGCTGAACCTAGCATGTACTTCCACGCCAAAGATGTTAGCTCCACACGAGTTTATGGACGTTCCGAAGAGCGATAGGAAAAGTGCTCGTAAACTCAATATACAGGACGAATTCAACAGCGAGTAAGTATTCTGTCATTCCTCCATTTAGACGTAACATAATTCACTTTAATCTATCGAATAATTAACTAGATTAGGTATGTAAAACCCATTATAACCGAAATCCAGAATTTGTAGTACTTTATCAGAATGTCGAACGTTCTGAAAACCTTAACCTATGACAATACTTTTCTCAACCTTGATTTCAGCGAACGTCACGTACTTAACAGTTGACCACAATCTAAACAATTAACCTTTTATAAAATTGCATTAAAACGGTTTCCTGAAACTCACAAATTAATATGGTTTTCAGTCTCGTCCTTAATTAGGCTTTAAGGAGATTACATTTAGTTCAATGACCCATTACGACGTACATTCTTAATTTTATATAAAAATTAAAAAAGCGACAATTTGAAGATATTAATTCTTATATAACAAACATAAAAATACCGCTTAACATATTATAACAAAATGCATTTTTGCAGGAACTACCCCTCCAGATTAGTTCTAAACAGCCAGAATGAAATTCTATATCGAGAGAGGTCTATAGACCAGACATGTTTGGAACGGCTATGTGATAGGAAGCCAGAGCCTGTTCAGTATTGGTTGTGTGACCTTGTCGGGTCATGTGAGAATGAGTGCATGACCACGCTGCAGAGCAAGCCACTAGGAGCCGAGATGAAAGCCATGGTGACTGCCAGCTCCGCTACTATAACAGGGAACATAAAGAAAGTGCAGACACACGGACAGATTATTGTTCATCAATACAGCGATGTTTTAAGGTAAGTGTTTACTTTACCATTATTTTAATAAATATATTTTTTATAGAAAAGCTATGGAAATCTCCTTTCTGTAGTGGGTATAAAAACAAATGCTATTGTAATTAGACTGTCCTTCATTATAGTCTTTCATCTATATATATAAAAGAAAGTCGTGTTAGTTACACTATTTATAACTCAAGAATGGCTAAATCGATTTGGATGCAAATTGGTGGGGAGGTAGCTTAGAACCAGGAGACGGACATAGGATACTTTTTACCCAATTCTTTTTTTTTACTTTTTACCGAAAATCAAGAACGGTAATGGGAAATATCGGGATTGCGCGTACGAAGTCGCGGGCAGAAGCTAGTTTATAATAAACTTGAAGCATAATTGTTTACATATGCTATCACTATGAACAATATAAAAATCTAATCAACATATCCTCAATCAATACGTGTAAAGAATAATCGATAATCATTTCCTATAAATGCATGTTTCTGAGGAAAAAACGTACAATAATCATATGCATTTCATTGCTCTTCTAAATGAGGAAACACGCACTTTTCGCAATCAGCAACAGTTAGTTCAGCATTTATAATTAAATCACTTTCATTAATATTACAGGCAAATTGAATCCGGAAAGTCGAGTGAGGAACAAATCTGCTTGTTGGTAGCGAATATCAATGAGTTTGTGTTAGCTCACAGCATTACATTAAACACAAAGCCTCCAGGAGAGACTCCAGAACGATGGGACAAGATCAAGAAGTCCTTACAACTGTATCTACAGAAGTTAATCGATGTTGGAGAAGATGTGAAAGTGGAATTGAACGAGAGTGTTCCCGAATGGAACTTAGTCTGCAAACATTTGGACACTTTGATTGAAATCTTCTTGGAGACTACTAAGGCTGTGCTTGTTCAACAGATGAAGGTAAGGTCATAACAGTTACTTAGGAAGGTAACTAGTTCCTTTAGCTATCGGCGTCGCCTATCTACACCTGGAACACCAGAGGCATTACATGTGCATTACCGGCCTTTTGGGATTAGGAATATGAGGATTTTTGGGGATTCAGAAATTAGGGTAGGGGGGAGGAGATAACTGGGCCTTCGGCAACCTTACTCACACGACGAAACACATCGCAAGCGTTATTTCACGTCGGTCTTCTGTGAGGCCGTGGTATCACTCCGGTCGAGCCGGCCCATTCGTGCCAAAGCATGGCTGTCCCACACTTAAAAGAAAATAAACAGTAACAACGTAATGAATCATACTCGGATATTCAGCTACCCAAGAATGAGATAAAAGAACCGATTTTGATAAGCAATTAGCAATCACAGTAGCAAGTGATACGAAATTCTGATTTTCACTTTCGATAAAATATACCTATTAATATAATCAGTTCAAATTACACACACATACATACATTAATTCCTATTAAACGTAAATCGTTTCTCACGACACACGGACACGACCACGGAGCCACGAAAACTTTGTAAACAAATCGGATATGACATAAATGTTTATGTTCCCACAGACTCTGGTGTCGATTATAGAAGAGCCACCTTCGGATATGATTCTCAAGAGTACATTGACGTCTATTGGACACTTGGCCATGCTAAGTGACACTACAGAGAGTTCCCTACATGAGAAATGTTCGAAGATCATGAAGAATATTACTGAGTTGCCGTTCGTGGACTGCGCAGTGCCCAGGGCGTTGTTGACAGCGATCATCGAGAGTAACAAGAGCTCTATAAAAGCGTTATCGTTACGTGCGCTTGCGACCGTCTGTGTCACTGGAGATGCGGTGAAACAGTTTGAAGAGGTATGGCGATAAGATAATATTAATAGTCTTATTTTTTATATAGTTTGTCCTCCATTGGTTAGAACAGAAAGGTCTGTGCGATTAAAAACCAATGTTAGTGTTGTACATACTAAAAAATCTATTGATTATCTTATCAGTTCAACGTGAATCAAAATCTGATAGGAAGATCTTCATAACAATAATTTCTTTGAAATATTTGTATTACATATTTTATTCCACGTCCTTATCTTTGATTTGTCTATCTTCAGGGCGGTGGCATCGAAATCATCTCAGATATTCTCTCGGACCGCAAGAACCCTGAACCTCAGATGCGGGAGGCCATTACAGTGCTCACTCAAATTACTGCACCCTGGCTGAGAGGGCACTACGACCTCACACAGATGCACCTCTATCTCAACAACATCGTTGAACACATTACCGGTAAGTTAGTAATTAGGTTGCTAACGCCATCTAGTATATAAATTAAGAACTAAACGAAATGTGTTTATTCTACTTCTCAATAGATGGCGCTCAAAGTACTAATTTAAGATTTGGCGCGACTAATTTTCTAATTGATTGTATTGTAGAATTTCGACAAAAATGAATTAACTTTTGCTGCATAATAGATATTTATGATGTGTACATTTTTCTAGGTATTCTGTCTCGTACCGAATGCTGCCAACTTCTTCTTCTGTGCACGGCTTGCCTCGTTAACTTGGTGCGAGAATTGGAGTTGGAGAAGAAAGATGATGACGTCACTACCAAATCTGACATCGTCGAGGTGATCACCAAGCATCGGACTGTCGAGAGACTGCTGGACGCTGTGAAACGACGAGGACCTAACATCTCCGTATTTTTGCAAGTAAGTTAGAATTCGAAACTTATTTTGTTAGTATGTGGTCCCATTTAGGTACTCATTTCAGAAGATATGTAGGAATTTTCGGTCACTCTTTACCCTTAACCGACTATAGGTTCAGAAATAATGTAACTTACGTAGCTATAGGCTTTTGTTGAAGAAATAGGTAATTTTAATTGTATCAGAATCTCCCTATTTGTATTTTTACTTACTTCGCTTTGTCTTTACTCCTCTAGGAACAGACAGCATCTCTCATAGCATCTCTATCCCGGATTCCTCGCTGCATGTTGCTCCTGTCCCGTGTTACGTCAGTGTGTGTGGCGCTAGTGTGCTTCGCGCGGTTCTCGCCCGGCGCCTGCGCACGCACCGCCGAGCTACGCGCGCAAGCCAGGCTACACTGCCATGCCGCTGAGGCTATCTCTAGGTAAGTTCTAATTAAGTATGCCCCATATCCCTACACCATGGGTTTGATAAGAGTTATCAACAAAATGGGCAAACTAAATAAACCCGTATAATAAATGATAGTCAATGACTGGACTTCACTGGACACACTCTATCAAGATCATGTTTCGAGCGTTGAAATAACCTTAGAAATAATTAATGAATCAAACAAATAAATTTTCAAACTCCCTTTATTTGTTTACAGAATGACAGTGATGCCAGACGTCGCATACCAAATAGTGCAGCTGGAAGGCGTTCCCCTCCTTACCAAGCTGGTAAGGTTGCAGCGAACACGGCCGCCATTGGACACCAACCCTGACCAGACCCTCATACACTGCCTCAAGGCACTCAGGACCATTTACAAATACCATCCGAGCACCTTCGATGATGAACAGGACGTTAAAGACATGATCAGACCCCATTTAATGGAATCCCTCATGTTATTTTCCGCCAAAAAAGAAAGCTACGTCTAGTGTTGTGTCGTTTAAAATTCTCTCGATACTTTTATCGATATTGATATTCGAATAACATGTTTCATGAATTGGGTGGTGTTTCTAAATTATATTTTTTGGAGTTTCTTGCGTATACGTAATAAAATTGAACTCGAATACATATAATGTAGTTCCCCTGAGACTGAATTAATAAATTATTTAGTTATGAACATATGGTATTAGTGTGATTACTTAATTAACGCAATGAATTAACTAATCGAATCAGTAATCACAGAACTTCATTAAAAATCATGATAATCGATTTGATATGAAATAATTTATCGATTGAAATATTTGACAAATGAAATAGATCATGCCTTTAACCTCAAAGAAGAGTATAAAAAAGTTACAAGCTTACTTACAAACAAAATATTGTTTCTTTATTATTGGAATATTCCGGGACGTTTCTAAATTCGAAGTTTTAGAATAGGATCTTTTGAATTTTAACATCTTTTTTATATTTTTGCACTATGGTTCTGTACAGTATTGCCATACATTCCACTTATAATATAACAGTGTTGCTGTATATAAAATTTTAATTCTACTTATTATATTATAAGTACTTACTATTTTATTTGGCTTTGTAAATAGCGTACTTACAAGTAGGTACTAACATTTACTTAATTTTACTATTTATCTTGAATAGTACAGAGGCCATACTATCATGAAATTACTTCTACTAGTCTTTAATCAATATTATACTTTTTTGTAGCTATTGTAAAGGTTTATTTTAATTTTATGAATCTTGTGGTACAAAACATAATTATTTTATACCTTGTCCTCACAAGGGACCATTGTGGAAAAAAAACAATTTATTTTGACATATTTTCAATGGAACCTATGTCAAAAACAAACAATGATATTATTCAGCCATTATTGGGCCCTAGTGAGGACGACGTCTATTTAAAAAATATAATAACTCATTAATCTTGAATTAATTGATATAACAACAATTCTACGTCTTTCTTGCCGGAATACTGAAACGCTATTCAATTTTAAGTCGTGCTTAAGTATAGTTCTATCTCTACAAATTCTTTGTAAAATGACAGAGATGGCACGATATTTGAGCACGACTTAAAATTGAGTAACGTTTCAGTATTCCCGCATTATCTATTAGCTATTTCCGTATTGTTTTGTCCATGAGATTCCATTTTGTAATTATTTTAACATCACTCAATAGTGTAAGTTTGGTACCACCTTAAATTAATAAACCCTAGTATTGCATACCTTTTACCCACAAGTGTTTAGACTTTAGTTTGTAAAGAAATTGCGTTATGCGGCACCCGCCAATGTTATCTGTTTATAATAAAGTATATTATCTATTCTATTTGTTGTTATTATTTTTCATAGAAAATCGTTCCAATATCTACTATTTTGAAGAGAAGAAGATACACGACCCGTCTTTGCATTTGATTTTGCCGCTCAGTTGTCGATAAGTCAATACTGTAATCGATAACTTCTTACCCACTTTATTATAATTATACTTTTTAAAAATTGATTTAGTGAAAAGTGGGTGCTTTATTGTACAGTGGCATTAAGTGCCGTAATGTGCACCTTTGCCTATCCCTTCAGGGATAACAGGCGTAACGGTCAGTATATGATATTGAATTTTTATATAAGACCTGTTTTAAAAACGTTTTTCTGCACATTAGGATACCTACGCTTTGGGTTGAATGCGTTTAAAAATCATTAACTCCACAGACAATTTCTATACACTATTTATTATTAAAAACTACATTTCTATCATATTTAAAACTACCTACACCCCAAACCATATACCAAGCGCGATGATTATGACAAACCCCCTTAAAAGGTGAAGCCTAAAGTTACCAACAAATGTAATGCAACATCTTTGCAACTATTGATGATAATTTTCACTCTTTCTATAACTTAGTTAAAAAGTTTTTTATTTCTTTTTTCTTCTTTGGCAACCGAGTCTCCAAAACGGTGTTGTCGACCATACTGCCAGTGTCGAGTGGTGAAGGCAAAAATTAATGAACCGTCGAACTTAACTTTGCGGTAGTTTTTAATTGTTATGTTAGTAGCTGAAAGAACAAAACAATTAGGTTAGTAAACATAAACATTATCAACTATTTTATTGTAACATACAGTGGTGTAAAAATAGTTGGTTGGTTAGTAATACACAATACAGACAATTAAAAAGTTAGTCCAAGCAATAAGGTTGCGCGTTAGCTCTTCTCAACTCCTCTTTATACTTCTCTCGTTCTCCAATTGGTTTCAAGTTCCACATTTTATACGTTTGTGGAGTTCGAATTACGTTTACCAGGAATAGGATGAATAACAAGAATAATACAAGTAAAGGTGCCTGAAAGAAAATTAGAGAATCAGAAAGAGCATGATTGGGGGAAGGAGTGCAAGACACATTGGCAGAAGAAAGCCTACTTCTTTAGAAATATTGACATTAAAGAAACATAAGAAGTTGTAGAGGTACAAATGGCTATTGATGGGGAGCTTAGTGCTGGCCTGGGAAGCCTAAATTGTATTTAAAATACTACCATCTTCCCATTTGTCGTTCATTCCCTTTCCTTTCCTTCCCTTCCCGTTTCTGTACCATTTGGACATAACACACTCGTCTCCCTGAACACCGAAAGGCTACTTCAGATTACTGGTATCTACGTTACTGTTAAAACTCCTAACGTAAGTTACTACCTCTTCAATAACGAGTGATCGTAGAAAATATACAACAGTAAATGTGAACAGCAATATTAAACACAGTAGAACTTTGCTCATATTGAAGAAAAGGTACTTGTTGTAGGCCACAAACTTCTTTGCCATAACTGAAGGATCCATTTTATAAAATCACAGTCACAGCATAAATTCACAGAATGCAATATCAGTTCTTTCTAATAATATGTCACTAAATCATGATATTACTTTGACATGCTAATTAGAAAGATATATTGACTTCTAGCGGCCAGTTACTAGTTACTAACAACTAAAAAGACTACAAGTAACATAAAACTCATAGCGCGGAGAACTTAACGGGTTACCGGAGCTCCGGCTCGAAGTGCAGGGTTAGGAACGGGGTGGTTTTTAGTCAGTAAGAGTCTGATACTTCCTCCCGCCTCACCCAGGCTGGAAAAGGAATTCGATAATTTTCCCTCCTTAAAAAACACCTAACAAGCACGGCTCCGGCACAGCTCCAACCCAGCAATTACCTAACTTGTCATTTAAATATGAAATTTAAATCGAATGTAACCACCTGGTGGTAAGCGATGATGCGGTCTACGATGGAGCACGTCGTCCCATAAGCAACCTATTCACTCGGGCGTTGAAGACTGCCAGGTTATACCCCTTCAGGAAAACAGACTCTGGCAAACAATTCCATTCCTTAGCAGTACGCACAAGGAAGCTTGATGCGAAGCGCTTTTTGCGTGTGGGACTATGTGGATCTATCTTGAATTGGTAACGCTTCGCCGATTGTCTTGTGGTAAGATGATGAAAGGACTAGGGGGAATCAAGTTTTGCAATTTCCCCGCACACTCACCGAAATGTATCCGGTGTGTGATGATGATGACCTTAAAGTGAACGTCTTGGGGGCCATGGCGCCTAGAGGGTTTTATTCACAGGTTTTATTCCCCGAAGTAGTAAGTAGAGTTACAATTAAGTGACCCTAACTTCGCCGAATATCTAATGACTCCCAGAGTTTAATTTAATCACCTATTCCAAATTACTTAGAAGCGCGTCTATACTCCCGGGCGCCGGGAGGCTGGAGGCTTACAGTTTCAAGACAAACTAGAAAATACCTACCAGTTAAATTATGTGGTCAAGTACCTAGCCTGTGCAAATTGATAGCTAAAATATAAACATTATAGATTTCAGCTGTATAACAAAGGTTAAGCAGTGGCGTCGCTAGTGGTGGAGGGGGGGGGGGGGTTCCCCGCCCGCCCGGGTTCCCGCCCCGGGTGTCACCCGTTCAGGGGTGACACCCGATACCTACTATGACCATCAGTTACAGTTCTTTCTAGCTATAAATATCGTATACCCTAAATCTGTAGCAGACAGCATAACCGCCACTAATAAAATAATTAGTGGCAGTTATTGACTATTGTATAAAAATAAATTTCATGCTCGTGGTAACTATAAAGCCACGAGCATAAGCAATTTAAAATTAATTAAAAATTACTTGCGGTCTCCAATGACTAAAACCGGATTTAAACAATCTTGGTTTTTAACGATAGAACATGAAGTAACACAAAATTAGAAGACGTGATTTCGGAGTTCGCAATTGTCAAAGCTAGAAGGAAGAAATTTTAATTTTAAACAAACTAAATTTGTTTCACAAAATCCACAAATATTTGTAATACCTACTCATATTTTACTCTTTAAGTTGAATGTTATTAACAAGAGTTTGGACATAGTCTGAAACAAATGATTATTAGGTATTTAGTAAAAGGTAAATGTTTATTACTATTTATTTTAAGTTTCGATTGAGTTTTGGGGTGACACCTACAAAATGCACTCCGGGTGCACTGAGTATAAGGTTGAAAATCAATAGAGGAAATTAATGACTTAAAATAATTTCTATAATAATTACCGGGACTTCCTGCGTTCGACTTTATAGTGATAAAATTACCTATTAATTTGCTGCATCTATGCATACTGTTATTATAAACAAATGATTCACTTTGTGCAAGACACGTGTAAACTGTGATAAGCCTGCAATTACCTACTGTGTTGTGAAGTACGTACCTATTTCCTTAAGGCTGAGTTTTATCCTATCTATTTATATGCAATTGCGTATATACCTATATACAGTAACGTAATGTTTAATTATACAGCATGTATGATCTACCCAGCTTCCTGCTTGCAACTTGAGCTGCTTGAATAATAGAATACAAATACAAAGTGACTTCCTGAAAAGAAAGCTGTAAAGTAACGCAAGAACTTACTTTCAATGTGGGAGACCCAAGTTTCACAACTAGGGTTGCCACCCGTACTTTATAATAAAGTATTGTACGTTATTTAAGGTAATTGTACTCTATATTTTATAAGAATAATAAAGTACACGAAAATACTTTATTTTAGCAAACTTCATTTCTGTTAAAGTGGTAAGTATTTTTCGGTAAACTTATCGATTCGATATCGATATTTATCGATTTATGTTGAATCGATTTCGCCACTCACCAGCGCCACTTAGACAATTTCTAGTAAAGATGCAATTGTTTAGTAAAGGTAGTAATTTAATAAAAACTGCAAAAAGCAACAAAACATGTATTTTTAAATATAATACCTACTAAATAAGAATAAATTGTACTTTATTATTGTACTGTGTACTTTTTTTTCTTACCTGTAATCGTCAATTTACTTTAAATATCAAAAAAAAGGTGGCAACCCTATTCACAACTGAGGCATCACAATCGGAGTGACCACCAGGACCCAGCATGTAACAAAGCTGATGTTTCATTTCACTGTATGAAAAAGTCATCAAGGACTTACACTTGTACTTCATAATATTATGGAGCACACAAAATGAAACTCAAATATAATTATAACAATAATTATGATTTAATGTCATCTGTTAATAAAAAAAATAAAAGTATACAGTATACTTATTACTAAAGTAAGTAACAATCATCCGTACGATTGTTTAATATTTTTTGAGTGTACAATATCTACGGTGGTTTCGTGGCACATTCTAAGGTCTAAATCGTAGACACCTAAACAGAACTTGTTCTCTGGGGCCTTGAAGTAGTCTAAACCTCTGCCAATTTTTATGATCCAGCCCGAACTCAATCTGAAATGCATAAAAAACATAATGTTATTTTTTTTAATCCTTACTAATATTATAAATCTGAAAGTGAGTTTGTTTGTTTGTTCCACCTTCATTCTGTAACTACTCAACCAATTCCTTTGGATTTTTGCAGACGTAAAGTTCGAAGTCTGGATTAAATAATAGGGTACTTTTTAACTCGGAAAAATTGATATTCCCGAGGATAAACAAAAGTATTGGTATAGATGGCGCCGTATGCATTGGTATATTATGTCACATAGGCTACTTTTTATTCTTTTGTGACGCGAGTGAAGCCGCGGGTAAAAGCTCGTTTTAAATAAAACATTGGTTCAATTATTCTATTTCAATATTTTGAAAACCAGTATGCTGTGTTTATGTATAGTTGTTAGAAATACTCAGGACAGCTTATTGAGTATACACTCTACAAATATATATACAGCAGACTTGAAAACGGAAAGTACCAGTAGTTAAAATAGATAGTGGCAGAATGTACTCACGTGATTTGCCGGTCATGTAAGGTCTCGGAAAATTTAACTATTAGCTTAATTTTGTACTTAGATAGGTCATTACTTAAATTAGTAAACCACCCTCTTTGGTCTCCTTCAGTTTTGTTGTCTCTCGATGTGATCAATTCAATCAATTGCAGGTTGTGGCAAGATCGGACTAACAGTTCGCAAAGCCTTAGAAAATTCTGACACTAAAAACAAAGTATTATTTAAAAAAAGAACCTACATTCTAAATTATAGTCATAAAATATTAATTTAAAATCTGTGTAACTTTTTTTACCTGATGAAAAGTCCTTATGTAAGGATCTTCAATGGAAACATAATTTACATCCTCATCTAAAAATCGTCCAAATAGAGTTTTGTAACTGTGGCCTGTAGAATTATTTTCTATGTGCACCTGTTCATGAAACTGTCCAGCCTCCTTTTGTTGTAAAACTAACTTTTTTATTGTCTCTGCTCTGTTCATATATTCTTCAACTTTTTTTCTAAGATAGGCTTTAGTCGAATCATCATTCTCACCTGTAAAATATAATTTGTAATAACTCTGTTGATTATTATCACGAATACATTGCTAATGAATCATTATGGTAGAGAGTTAATTTCTTTTTACTTGCCTCTCATTTTGTCTACTAATATTTGTAGCCCTTCTTGGTAACATACTAGCGCTTCTGTGTACCGTTTCTTAGTATCTAATTCAACTCCTCGTTTGAGGATGTTTACTGCAGCACTTTCTATATTCATGTTGTAAAATAAAATCACAAAATAAACTAGTACAACATTAACAACTTATTTACTGTACTGATGAAAATTAAATCACAATTCAAGTCAAGAGCAAATGAACCAGGGCCGTCACACTTAGAGCCATTGACAGCTTAAAAAATCGGACCGTCAACTACATCTAGTTTTCGAACCTGAAATTAAATGTTGTCAAAACTAATATTTTCAGTGGCCACACAGTTCCAAGCAAGATTGCAACATTATTTTAAAATTTAGGCTTAAAATAATATTTTTTGGAAATAGTAAAATAACATTATACACATTTATTTAATACTATATTGCAATTTTTACAAAATAATTCCTTAAACTTAGATCAAATGACAGTTATAATGGCATAATCGATCAAAGATGACAGCCTCTTTACTAATAATAGAGATTAAAAAGATATTAAGTGATGGATGACAAACTAAACTCTATGAAGTGACTGCGTCAGGTTTCTCCATCCAAAAGCATTTAACCTAAGAGCCTGTGAACCTTAGGTCTAGGCCACCGTTTTTATTATATAAAACTAATATTATATGAAAATACTCAATTTTCATAGAAAATCTATAAAATAGGTTGCACGCATTCTTTCTGTCCCTCTATCACACACACACACACACACACATTCACACACTTACTTAATCTTTCTCGATAAATGCACTAACTCTATTTCGTTCAGTCATCATCTCTGATTTACAATTTGACAGCACCATCATTTTCACCACCCTCGAGAACCATGAAAACGACACCTATAACGATAAATTGAAAATATCGTGCAGCCGCCATCTTGGATTTGCATTTTGACAGCACCATCTTTGTTACCACCCTCGAAAACCATGAAGACGATACTCATGACAATAAATTAAAAATTTTGTGCAGACGCCATCTTGGATTTACATTTTGACGACACCATCGGCTTTATCACCCTCGAAAACCATGAAAACGACACCCATGACGATAAATTGAAAATTTGTGCAGCCGCCATCTTGGATTTGCATTTTGACACCATCGGCTTTATCACCCTCGAAAACCATGAACGACACCCATGACGATAAATTCAAAATTTTGTGCAGACGCCATCTTGGATTTGCATTTTGACACACCATCGGCTTTATCACCCTCGAAAACCATGAGAACGACACCCATGACGATAATTCAAAATTTTGTGCAGACGCCATCTTGGATTTGCATTTTGACAGCACCATCGGCTTTATCACCCTCGAAAACCATGAAACGACACCCATGACGATACATTCAAAATTTTGTGCAGACGCCATCTTGGATTTACATTTTGACAACACCATCGGTTTTATCACCCTCGAAAACCATGAGAACGACACCCATGACGATATATTCAAAATTTTGTGCAGACGCCATCTTGGATTTACATTTTGACAACACCATCGGTTTTATCACCCTCGAAAACCATGAAAAGGACACCCATGACGATAAATTAAAATTTTGTGCGCACGCCATCTTGGATTTACAATTTGACAGGACCATCGGCTTTATCACCCTCGAAAACCATGAAAACGACACCCATGACGATAAATTCAAAATTTTGTGCAGACGTCAGCCCTGTTCATTTCCATTTGCTGATTTACTTTATCCAAGTTTTCGAAGATATTATTCATAATAGCTAGTCATTAATTGATTAATTACTAGTCATTACGAATAATATCAAATTAATCACTTTGGCTGTAACATATGTATATACATTTAGGTCAAACTGATACTCCTTTTTTAAAGTCGGTTAAAAAAGAATCATCAAAATACGTTAAAAAACGACGAAGTCATCCCTGAAGGAACATAAAAAAACCTTATAGGTATATAACTTTTCCTTTTTTTAAGTCCGTTATAAATAACAAAGGTCTGGGGTTCATAGGCTCTTGTACTATATGGATTGTCAAATTATTATTTTTTACGGCAACGCTGGGGCTAAAAAAATATTAAAACATTACAATAATAATTTTCCAAATTATTTAGATAATAAATAACTATTAAAATAATATTGTTAATAATTAGATATTGATATTAAATACTTTTTTATATTATCTCCTTATTTCTATAAAATAGTATGCATGTAGTTTGTACTATTTTAATACTGGCATATAATATGTATACTTTTTGCTTGATAAAGAAAAGAAACAAAAACAAAAATTTGAAATGTCAAAATTGTAAAAATTTTTGCCAAAAATATTTTAAATTATTTAATAATTTGTGATGGGATTTTGTGATTGTTTTTCTAAAAAAGGAAGTTCTGCGATGCGTGTTGTGTTTTCTATAAAGGACCTTTTGTATACATGTGTATCACAAATCACAAAAGTACATTGTGTTTGTTTGTCTATTCATTGGACTTGATTTTACAAAGGAACGCTTTAATTTGCGTATATATCTTATTTATAATAAAGAACATCAATACGAAGAATACAATCATGTTGCTGAAGGTAAAACCTACAACAAGTTTATGATTTTTGCTATTGAACCTATTTATACATTTTATTTGATTCATTGAGATACCAAACTATGTAGTTTTTATAAATTTCTACTTTTTCTTTTGTATATTTGTTACAGTGATATTTGGAATTGCTATTGCATCGATATTACTTCAGCATCATCATTGCAGAATATCAATAGTGCAATTTTTTATCGGCAGTTACGAGTCTTACGATGTCCGGATAAAGTGCCGATCTATACCAGCAGTGCTTGAAACCTATTTTAGAGATGGTAAATACTATATTATTCTTGTAACATCAGTAATATCACGTAAGGTACACCTACCTTAGATAAATAAAAGAAAACAAATAAATAAAATACATATTTCTGCATGTAAAAATAATCTTTGTTTTTTTTTCAGGTACTATTTGGAATTATTCTAACATTCAGACGTATATTGTTGTCTCAAGAAACCCATAGATCGCTGCAAATATTAAAGCCGTATTATTTTTGTAAAACTATTTTTATCTTTGTATTAATGTATATATCATAATTAGAACATTTTAAGTACCTACGCACAACAAAGTAATATTAAATTATAAATAAACTAAAATAGGTACATATTCACACCTTAAAAAAAATGTTACCTTAGGGCATCAAAAAATTCTTTTTCATCGCTATCGTGGAGTAGGGTGCCCAAAAGACTGGCAGCATTATTCTAGGTTTTACTTATTTGTATTCATATATGTAGAGGTCTCTCCTTCTTGGGCTTGACCTGGTGAAAATGGGCACCGCTTCCCGCAACCCGCAGGAAAAACGATGCTCATAGCCCCTTCTAAATTTGACTTATAAATCTCCTTCTTTCTCTTCTGCTGACTACTTGACTACTAACTGGGTGTAGTTTGTGTGCCAGATGTGGATTGTGAGCTTCATGTGATGGTTGACTGAGTGGTATGTGGTGTTTGCGCTTGAGATGGTTGTAATTGATCGGAATCTGGAATGTATGTGACGAAAACTGTGTCTCCTAGTACTTTGCTAAGAATGATTATTGTGTGAATGGTGGCTAATGTCTATTTATGTTTCTAGTTTGTCTGTGTATCTGCTGAGGCTTTTGGCTAGTACCTACTCCTGTGGCTCCAATTACTATAGAATTAACATGCGTTTCAATATTTCAAGGCGTCTAGCCTTGAGTTGTGTCTTTAAAAAGTGGTATTTACTGAATTTCTTTTGCTCCTATGTTGTAGTTACATGGTACAGTTATGTCAAAGAGGTATGTGGTGTTGGATGTTTTGTTTGTGTATATTATGTCCGGTCTGTTGTGGGCAACTGTGAAGTCTGTCTGAATTGGGATTTCCCACATTATTTTGCCTGTTTCATTTTCATTTGTATTTATAATAATAATATTACTTTGTTTCATTATAATGTTATAAAAATATTATATTTGAGGATAGGAAAAATCTGTAGTTGTTTAGTAAAAATGACTGTAATATAACTAGATATAGGAAACGACTAAGTCAGGCATTATTAGCAACTAGCAAAAAAAGTACTAAAAAACTGAGACTGACTGAGAGGCAGACTGAGACTTATTTTTAAGCACTATATTTTTCGACATTATAATAATAAGTGCGACTGCCGGGCAAGGGGTCTCGGGTTCGATACCCGGGTCGGGCAAAGTATTACTGGGTTTTAAAAAAATCTCAGTAGTAGTAGAGTAGTCTGGAAATGTGCCCGGTATATGGCAATAGGCTCACCCCCTATTACATGGGACTTATAACATAAATAGTGAAAAGTGGGTGTTACATTGTACAGTGGCATTGAGTGCCGAAATGTGCACCTCTGCCTACCCCTTCGGGGATAAAAAGGCGTGATGTTATGTATGTTATGTTATGTAAATTGTATAATAATTTTGTGTTTTTGTAAATACTGTAAGCGATTCAAATCGATGGTAAAATGTACTACATTTGTGTAGGTATTACGGTTAATTTATATCATTAGATTGTTAACTACTGTTAGGTACTGTGTAAACAACGGTGAACAGTAAATATTTTTAATTTTAGTTCTTTGTGGGATCAATAATTAAAAAAATAACTAATTCAAATAAATTTTGAACGACATATTTATATCTGAAATTTGTAAACATAAAATAAAAAAGAACTAAAATTTGAAATATACTTTGAACAAATCTGTCGTCTGATATTTCCCTACTAGCTGATAATTTTTAAATGTTAATTTGTATTTACTGTAAAATAAATGTAATATTGTAATTAATAACTTCTTTGATTTTGCAGCTACCAGACATAGCTAATTCCAATACTACCTTCAATGTACCAACCTGCAAGGTGCATTGTTGGTAGTATTGTCATTAGCTATACTTAGGATTATCTGTAGACATTAGTAAAAAAAAAATATACTAGGATTCAATTTTCAGATGGCGTTTCAAATTGATTGGCATAAATTTTGACGAGTGGCAACTCTTTACCCCTATACTTATTATACTCTTTGAAATGAACAATCAACAAAAAGTTGACTTTCAATTAGTGTTTACAAAGTATGAAACAACTTGAAAACAATAAACAAACGTCAGCTGTTTTTACAAAATGTGAATGTAAGGGACAAAAAAAGTTAACAAATATTTTTTCTAATTTTAAATTCAAAAAATAAGTTAACCAGGAAAAAATGTAAAGAAAACCAAAAGGCAATAAAATAAATACTGCAGAATTCCAGAAAGAATTTGAAACTTATAACGTTGCGATATCTATAAATGAACATAGTTGAATAGAAATAGGTTTTTCACCAACTATGTTACATTTCACGCATTATTGGATCAACAAACTTTTTAACTAAATTATTTTTAAGTATATCTAAATCAATAATTTTAATAATCGTTATATCTTAATAACCATACAAATAACAAACTAGCAGAGGTTACATAGCTCTGGTATTATGACTCTCTAGACTTGACTACGCTTCGTAATTTATATAATATGTTGTAGAATGGAACGTATACTAAAGAAAATGAAATAGACTCTGTGAAGTCTGTGGTCTGGTCTTGCAATTATCATATCATAGGTACAAAATGTACTCTGTGGTGTAAAGGTTGTAAACACAGAACACAACATAACCTCTATTTTCGTCGAATCTTGTGGTCTATTTTGAAGTTAAAATATCATAAAACATGATTTTAAATTAATATCCTTAAGTTGTTTCTTTACTGAGAAGCTACGGATTAATTTACCGTACACTGCTACTTAATTTTTGATAGAAAAATGTCACATCAGATGGGAAGAGTTGTTTCGGCAATTTTGGAAAGACATTTTGGTGAAATTGTGCAGAAAGTGGGTGATGACTTATTTAGTTATGGCGGTAGGCCCATCGGCATGCTTGTGAGGCATACAGGACTTCCTCGAAACCAGGTATTTATTAAAAAACTGTATGTCGGTATTTAGGTTATGTTAAAAAAATAGAATGTACCTATAAATGAATTAATCAATGCAATGACGATTAAACTTTAGCACTTAATAAAGATAAGTATTTGAACGAATTAACATATACGATAATAACTTTATTTAAACCAATTTTTTTATTTACCTATTCACATGGAGAAGGAAAGACCAGTAAACACTACTCATACTTCTCCATGCGAAAAGAAGTCTTTACCCAACCGTGGGACAGTTTTAGACTGATGAAGAATATAAGAAAGACTCTGTAACCAGGGTTGCCAAAGCTAATTCATCAAAATCCCCAAAATTCCTGATCGAATTCCCCAATTTGGGGAATAAAAATCCGCTGATTCCCCACAAATTCCCCTCAAAAGTTTTTTATAAAATAGAATTATAATCAATTATTTAAATAATATTGATTGTTTTAATTTGAAACTGTTGAGCTTCTAATGGATTTGAAACAGATATAATAGAAAATAAAGGATCTCGGAAATCAAATATCTTAATAATGTCCGACGTGAATTCCATATAAAATTCTTAGCATGTCTTATAGAAATCTGCAATAGCTGCAAAATGTACCTCGATTTTCATATTTTCTCAAATCTTCCATATTCTCTCCAGCTTTCATGCTTTATGATTTAAAAAAATGTTGTTATCGATAATAAACGATGAAATATTTTCCAATTTGTGTCAAATGCCAAAAGATGTCAAAATCCCCGCATTTTCCCCACATAATGCCAATCCCCAATAAATCCCCAACCAACTTGAGATTCCCCGCAGTTTGGGGAATTCCCCACAGTTTGGCAACCCTGTCTGTAACATTATCTTCAAATGGTCTAATAAATCATGGTTTCAGGTTGTGGACAGTCTTCGCACACTACTCAAATTTGACTTGGCAACATTTGAACCATACAATGAAGTGGTTGTAGACTACAAGCTGCTACCTGAAAATGTTCTCCTAATGATTAGATATCCCAGGTAAGTTATAAAATACTATTGTAATTATACTAAAGAATATGGATACCTAGTGCAAACAATTTGACACAATTGATATTCCCGGAAAGGTCATGCAGAGGTGTGCAATACTAATCAAGGTCAAAATAGGAGAAAATGCCTGCAGCATTAAGTCCAGCTATCATTATGTGCATGCAGCATATTAAACATGTAATATAATAATCTCATGTTACCAGTTATCTACCAAAAAACATAACATAACATCACGCCTTTTTATCCCCGAAGGGGTAGGCAGAGGTGCACATTATGCCACTGTACAATGTAACACCCACTTTTCACTATTATATTATGAGTCCCATGTAATAGGGCGTGAGCCTATTACCATATACCGGGCACAATTCCAGACTCCGTGCTACCACTGAGATTTTTTTAAAAACCTCAGTAATACTTTGCACGACCCGGGAATCGAACCCGAGACCCCTTGCCCGGCAGTCGCACTTGCGACCACTCGGCCAACGAGTCAGTCTTCTACCTACCTACCAAACTTCTATCTACCAAACTCTGTGGTATTATTTAACAAAACAAAACGGCATAATACCTTTACAAAACTATACGAAAGCCTGTTAAATTTCTATTTGCTATAAGGTCTAAGTAGATGAATAGAATTCAATTTATAATCCATCATCAACAGCCTATAAGTGCACACTGCTGAGCAAAGCTTCTTCCCACACGGAGGTCTGAGCATTAATCACCACACTTGCTCATTGTGGGTTGGCAATTTAAACTTATTATTAGAATTTATAAATCCAGGTTTCCTCACGATGTTGTACTTCACCATTTGTCAGTGATATCTAAATAATGTTAGAAAGAACTTACTGAACTTCAGAAAGTACTTGCCATTGATAGTTTACGAACCCGCACCCTCTTAATCTCCGGGCCACCACAACAATTTATTATTAATTATACTTATTCCACTATGTGTTAATAATTCAGATACCTGCTACAAATGAAGAGCAAGTATGGGAGTGAGGCAGAGATGCTGGTTGAGGAGTTGCTGCAGCAAGCCACCTGCACAGCCACTACTCTACTCTTCAATATAGCTACAAAGTTCAAGGATGATAAGGTAAAGTATAGAGATATTGAGGTTAATTTTGAAACGCTTTATAGTCCTTTTTGATGAAATAGGCCTTTACCGAGTACACAGATCACCTGATTGGTAGCAATTAGAATTTCTAAGTTATTAAATCATTTCTTATACTATTATATAAAGCCAAAGAGATTGTTTGTTTGTTTGAACATGCTTATCTCGGGAACTACAGGTCCGATGTGAAAAATTCTTCTTGTGTTGGATATTTCATTTATTGAGGAAGACTATAGGCTATAAAACACTATGCTACGACCAAGCAGACAGAGTAAAACCGCGCGGAAGGAGTAAATTGTAAATAAAATAAGTACCACACTACATAATTCAGGTTGTTGACAGGTTTTTGCTGAACACCTTGGTATAAATGGGTACTTACCAACTAGTCAATTTAATACTTTTTTTGAACTGTCAAAAACTACAGTTTTCTATGAATTTTGTATGAGATTGTGTATATCACGTCACGTTTTTTTAGCGTCAAACAACTTACTAATGATCAACTGTTTATTCTAAAAACTTTTATTTGACTACTATAACTATAATCTTTGATTTTCAGGAAAAAAGCATAACAATATTAGGTCTAAAGGATATGTTCATAAGTTTGGTGACTGCGGGCTACATTCAGCAAGCTCCAGTAGCTGAGCTGAAGGAAGGTAGTGAGATCCCCACTCTGATACCTGTCGCCACCATCGTACCAGATCTGGACAGCAGAGCTTTGTTGCAAGCCATGAATAATGGACACATTAATGATATTAAAGATAGTGAGTTATCAATATTTATTACTTATTTTTTGCTTGTTGCTAGATAAACTGTTAGAAATATCTCTAAGACAAGTCCAATAATGGGTTTTTTGGAGTTGCGTTTGATAGCGCAAATGTATGAAGGGGTCAATTTGGACAATCACAGCAGCTGTCAAATATTGAACATCCAATGGTATGACACTAATTCTTTATTGGAGAAAGAACGAGAAACACACATAAGCGCCATCTAGTAAGCAAAATACGGTAGACTCTATTCTGTAGGAATATCAGAATAATTACTGAATTAGTTACCCACACACTGCTTGGGTAAAAGTTTTTTTTGCTGTATAACTAAAGTATGCATACCTTGTTTCCAGATATTTATTGGAGAGTGAACTATGACAGATTCCACCTTGACTTCAGAGACGAGATCATGATCAAAGCTATCACAAGAAGAATTGATGAAAATGGTAAACATTTGTACCTTCTTTTAGGCCACATAGTTTTATTATTTTACTAGTTAGTTCAGCAGTTTCATCCGCTCTGCTCGGTTACCTATTGATCATACCGTGATGTTTTATAACCTAAAGCTTTTCTCGATAAATATACTATTCAGCACAAAAATATTTTTCCATATCGGACCACAAGTTCCGGAGATTAGTTAGTTAAATAATACTTTAAGATTTAAAACATTGTGTTGTGGCAATATAAAACTATAAAAATATACATAATAATGATTGAAACTTAAGAATGATTAGATCTAATATCTAATAATTCTTAAGTAACACAACTTGTAATACATGATGTTCATACACTTTGCAGCCGGAGAATTGATGAGATTTTTACTAGAGAAGATGTACCTAACGTCAGCTCCGTGGGCGCCGGAGTCGAGTCCTCTATGCGCCGTGGAGCTCCGCGAGAGGTGCAGGAGCGCCGCCACTGACAAACCACTGCTGCACCAGTTCGTAGACCAGTATCTTAAAGTATTAGGTACGAGTACAATTGGTTTGATTATTGATTGCCCATTCTTTCATTATTTTCTTAATTTTCACGCTGTGACAAGGACACAAGATGTGATTTACTGATACTGCAGAATTTTCAGTCTTAAGGTTTAACAAATCACAAGATTTCAAAATGCAATGCATCTTATTACTATGATAACAATAAACATGAATATGGAGTATCCGATGCACCAACAACTTTACTTTTGTTTATTTAATCCATTTTAACATTTATATCTTTTTGTACAATTAAAGTTGATACAATATAGGTTAATTTTTGCTACATTTACGATGTTTTTCACACATTCTTATGATAATAAATATCATAATATAACATTACGCTTTTTATCCCCGAAAGGGTAGGCAGAGGTGCACGCAGAGATAACACCCACTTTTCACACACACCACACCAGTAATACTTTGCCCGACCTGGGAATCGAACCTGAGACCCATTGCCCCGGCAGTCGCACTTGTGACCACTCGGGCAAAGTAGTCAATATTATAATGATGTATATTTTTAATGTATTATGATAATTTCTGTGTAGAGGAGAATGGCGGTGGCTTCGTCCGTCGCGTGGGCGACGCGGGCAGCGGTCAGTTCGCGGTCCGCTCGCGGCACGCCGCGCTGCAGCTCGTCCTGTGCGCGCTCGAGCACTGCGTCACCGAGAGACTCGGCTCCAAGGCCGCGCGGATATTTAGGTAACTATCCTTACTTATTCCTTACTTCCTTACTTATATTATAAATCGGAAAGTGAGTTTGTTTGTTTGTTCCACTTTAACGCCGTAACTACTAAACCGATTGCTTTGAAATTTTGCAGACGTAAAGTTACAAGTCCGGATTAAATAATAGGGTACTTTTTATCCCTGAAAAATTTGATATTCCCGAGGGAAAACAAAACTATTGGTATAGATGGCGCTGTGTGTATTGGTTGGTATATGTCACATTGGCTTTTTATCCTTTTGTGACGCGAGCGAAGCCGCGTGTAAAAGCTAGTATACATATAAACGTCAGCAGCTTGTGGGAGGCCATTGCTAGACAATGGATATCCTTTTCAAAAGAGGCAGGCGGGTTCAAGATCGCAGTTTTATAGGGTCAGGATTATCAGAAACGGCACTATACAAGTGTACGGTCGCTGTTACATATTTAATCCCTTTGTCGGTACCTACGACATCGTTCAAGGGGTTGGACAGTTGTCATGAAATGTATAATTTTTACTATTTTTCGGTACTAAGTAAAATTGTGATCGTGCAATACTTTGGCCATATTGCTGACAGAGATCTAGTAATCTGGAACGCCTCATAGTGACTGGTAAAGTAGAAGGAAAGACACTGAGAGGCCGTCCCATACGGTGGTCTAACCATATATCTAAGGAGCTGGAGAAACCCATGAATGTTGCAATGCACGAAGCAACGGAACATGATGAGTGGCGACATCTAGTGAGCAAAATCAACGGAAGTCACGATCCTCAGCAGAAGAAGGAAGTAAAATTACTGTTTGCTTTGAACATTGTCTAATAAATGAACGTTTTACAGGTTAATATACACTAAGAAGTACATAGAAGAGGATGACATACAGAAGAATGCTATGTTGGTGAACAAGGAATGCAAGCAGCTCACATACAAACTGATGGAGGAACACTTCATTAGTGTACAGGTAACTGCACGACTTTTTTATTATTTTAATCACTGTGGAAACCTTCTAAAAGTGGCCTAGGTTTTGGGGAGAAAGACCAGGGAGTGTGGATTTCTAACCTTAAAAACCTCTCCGGTGGCTTCGCTATCACCAATAATCTTACTTTATCCTACTAATATGTTTTAATACGTTACGTTACTTTTATTTGTACAGTCTCTTTTTGTGCCTTTAGGCTTAAATCATTCTCCCGTATTCTGCCTCCTGTAGTAATTCACCGAGGGAAGTGGAAACTATAGTTTTTTTTCTTTTCCTATTATAATATCTTTTGTTTCATTTCGTTGTGGGAACCAAGACAGTTATTCATGTTCCTATGAAAATGCCGTTCTGCAGTATTGGCCATCTCAAATCAAAAAATTTTTATTTGGCTAAGAATTGTAATCGTATTAGTTACACCATTTTCTTTAATTCCTTTGGAGAATTTACCTCAACTCTCAGTCCTGATGTTTCTTTAGAACTTTTTGTTAGATTTGGTTTAGTAATAAATAAGAGATCAAAGTATAAAATTGACTTCAGTACCTAATTATATTTGTTGTTTTTCAGCCAATGAGAAAACCAGCTTCAGCAGGCGGTCTGGCGAAAGCGATATATTTATACCATGTCAAATTACACAATGTAAGTCCCATTTTTTTGTAGAAAGTCCATATTTCTATTTATCAAAGTCGATTTTGTTATAATCACTACTCACTCGGTTACTTATTATTATTAGCTTTTGCTATTTTCTGTAATTTTTTGTTTCAGTAAAGTTTATTTATTTATTTACTTACTTACATTTACCATTACAGGATGTTTACTCAATGTCTGGCAAACATTATTTTAAATATAGTTTCGGGTTTCAAATGACTTTCTTAACTTTCAAGTGCTTTCTTTTTTGCCAAAAAAATGCTGTATTAATGATTTATGCCATGTACAGGTGGCGTATACAGGCTTGGAGATGTGTTACCGTTCCCTGCACAACGTACTCCGTCGCGCCGCCCACGAGCGCAGTGCGCATGCGCGGCTGGTGGACAAGCAGCGCCGCGTGCGCACCATAGTGCACGGCATGCGACTGCGCGGGGAGCCGCAGCGGAATATTGATGATGTCAGTGGCTACTCATATTGTATTCATAAATCATACTTATACTATTTGTACTCCGTACTATGCCGTCTCTGATAATAATATTCCCACTACAATTGATGACACATAACATGCATACATCACGCCTTATTATCCCCGAAGGGGTAGTCAGAGGTGCGCATTACAGCATTTAATTCCACTTTTTCACTTTCTCACACACTTTCTCACACACATTCCACATTTTTGAAAAAAAAAAACATTATTACTTTGCCTGTCCTGGGAATCGAACCCGAGACCCCTTGCCAGGCAGTCGGACTTGCGACCACTCGGCCAGCGAGGCAGTCAGCAAATCAGGTTGCAATTGATGACCTCTTTAAAATATAAGAAAAATCAGTTACGTATTTTTTTATTACAGTTATTAAGACCCCCTCCCCTGGTGTAGCTTGAAACTAGTTGGACAATCCCAAAACACTATGTGTATAATAAATATATTAACGTGTGTCAAAAATATTCCAGGTGGAAGAAACTTTAACACCCCCTGAGCTGGCCGTACTACAGGGTGTTGAAAAGAGGTTGAAACAGCTGAGCACAGCGGAATTAGAGTTAGATAGAAATCTCTTTATATTCAAATGGTATTTTATGTATCCATACGTTGAATAATTTTATAGTTATCTCAGCCAAAGACTGCTAAATATATCTATCAATTCATAAATTATAATGGCTGCTTATGTCTTGACGACTGCTTTTTTGTAGAGGGAAGACTATACTTGTTAAAAGTGGTTCATTTCTGTTTTATGATTTTTGTATTTTTCTTTGGTTAATGTGATTTGCTTGGTATTCTAGAAAGTAAATCTGTGGCCCTAGTGAAAGGCGTATAAGTCCAATTTTGTCCAAAATGAGTTGATTATACCAAAATGTATCAATTCATTACACTCATCAGGATCAGAAGAAAAGCTTAATTTTTCAAGCTGTATATCCATAAAAAACATGTATTTTTATTAAGTAGTAGGGTCAATCACGAATATGATGCGCACAGGGCGTTTTGTGTCTCCTATAAAGATACATTTTTGGACTTAGATCCTTTATAACGAAGGCCGCGGAAATATTCACATGTAATAAGTTACAGTATCCTTTTTCAAAATGTTATGTTTTCAATTGTGACTTTTTCAAACCAAATTCTCAGAAGTCTTCCAGTGAGCTTGTAGGTATGACATGATATTTAAAAAAATGTACATATATAATTATAATTATGAATTAGTTGTAAGGGAAATGAATAAAAAATAGTCGGAAATATGTTCTTAAAATTTTATTTGACCCCATTGAAACTCAATAGTTTTTCAAAGTGTACAACCTATTCCTTCGATTCAATTTATTACAAAACGTCTGAGTACTAACCAAGTTACTGTCACACGTAATTTGAACAAAATGGCGTATAATTTGAAGCGAACATTTTCTACTACTCTCATTGCGAACAATGAAAACTTGTGTAAATAGAAATAGGTAATAGTGAGTTCACCGAGTTATAATAATATTTTGACGAATTAAAAAAATAACTAATTATTATGTTCATCTTTTAGCTTAAGTACTAGCTGATGTGCATAGTGCTTACTCATTACACCTTTATGTTAAGAGAAAATAATAAAAATAAGTTTCAAAACAAATGAAAAAACTCTTTGTATTACGCACGTGGTTGGTTGATATTAACTTTGTTACACAGTTATCATTGCCAAACTTGTGCATTGTATGTCTAAATATAACGTGTAAAGTAATCACGTCTTAATTTTCCTGTACAATACACTGGTAACAAAGAATGGATAACTGGCAATGAGCCTTGTTCTTGCAAATATAGAGTATTAACACTTTCTCCACAACGAATTTTTTTATGGAATGAGGTAAACGAGCAATCGGATCAACTGATGGTAAGCGATCAGCGCCGCCCATAGACACCCACAACCCCAAAGGAGTTACAGGTGCGTACCTGTGAATGCTCTGATGTTGCGGGTGTCCGGCCGGCCTTTTAAAAAGGAATACGCTCTTTTCTTGAAGGTTTGAAGGTCGTATATATTGAAACTAACCCCCATAATAACAAATGATAGTCATGAAAAGAGCTTTCTAATGACATGCGTCTGGTCGTTATTGGTCGGTAGGTACATTTCTATACATCTTAGCTGGTCATCCTTTCACTAACTCTTTGTATAACATCCCCTGTAAGAAAATAATACAACACAAGTACAGCTAATATTGCACAAATCACTGAAACATCTCGGTGAACTCAACTACAGAACACTTGGAAAGAAAACGACAATCAACATTGTTATAATTATGAATTAATATTAACAAGTATATAGATTATGTACGTACGTTAAACACCTGTTATACAGTGACATCTAATATTTTATTATTTATTTATTTCAGACATCAACACTGGGTGCTGGCAAAGATTGTTTGAAATAAAAAAAAACTTGATATATCACTACAAAACTGCTATTTTTGTAGTAAATCATTTAGCTAGAATAAATTAGATCATTATTTCATCGTCCATATAATTTCTATTTTGCATATTTTCAGTTTCTTTTATTATTAGGCCTCTCCCATGTTCTATGATATTAACTAAATTACTTTCTTCAGTTATATATAAAGAAATCGTAGCCAGCACCCACCTGTCGCCTTGTAAAGATAATTATCCACTTCAAGCTAAATTAAATATACACTAGATTTGTCTAAATTAAAAAGTTGTCGAATATTTACACGCCTTGACCCGACTTGATGTCTCTATGGAACAAAAAAGAAATAAAATGTATGTATGTTCTTTATTATAATGCGCTAGATATAAAATTAATCATCTACAAATATTTATTGTGTTTTAGAAAAGTGATTTGTGATTTTATTATGTAATTATCCAATAATTTGTATGTATCTTGCTGCTAGACGGCGAGCTTGCTGGAATATGTAACTGAAAAGAAGTATTGAAATAATCTCTATGGCGGTAACTAAAGAAAAGCCTATAATAAACGTCTTACAATCACTCAGTCGTCATTAAATTAATATGTTTTTAAATAAATAAGAAGGTTGAATAGATACTATTAAGTTTTTATACCAGCACATAAGGCTTAGGTATTATGTCCTTGCCAACATATTAGCTACACAAATATACAAGACTGAAGACATACTGCGTTTAAGTATAAAATTTGTGCGCATTTAATCTCACATAAATCATAATAACGAGAGACATCAAAGTCGGATCATGATAACACTTATTACTTTTACTTCAGATTATTTTATGAACTATTCTATGGAAATATTAAAAATACAGTGAAGACATCGACTATCTGGCCTAAGATATCACCTTAACGCGAACGAATCGACCTTACTACGTTATCCGACTATACATTCTTGAGATGTTTACAAAAGCAGTTATTTATTTATATTAATTTATATTATGAAGTGTTTGTGTCACTTAGCGCCTAATGCAACTCAAAAATAAATAGAAACATTAAGATTTCAAAAGGACAGCAGTGCAATACTAAAAAAAAGAACTGGAAGCTTCCAAAAACGCATCAACCGCCATCTATGTACAAAGGTGAAGTAAGAAGCGAAATAAAATGAAACATGCAAATTAAAATTGTATTTATTTATTTATAAACTAGGTATTTTATACAACTTAACAAAATACATACATACAGTAACTAAACAGAGCAACCAAAATATAATTCATTCATACTGGCATTGGATCATAACAACTCATATTGCTGCATTCATTCCTGAGAGAGGGACACGTTACGATTGGCAAGAACCGTGTCAGTCAGTCGGCAGTCGTGTCGTACAGCCACTTACACCCACTTACAGCTACTGATGTAGGTAACGTCGGAATCAATGTAGCAACATGCGTACCACGGGACCACACCGACATAGTGTTGCCTGTGTTCTACTTCCTCTAATACTGTTCAACGTATGCTATCACTGAGTTCATAATTTCCTTCAAATGTATGTCTGAACGTGTAAATATTTTTATTTGTACTATCACAAATATTTATTGTGTTTTAGAAAAGTGATTTGTGATTTTATTATGTAATTATCCAATAATTTGTATGTATCTTGCTGCTAGACGGCGAGCTTGCTGGAATATGTAACTGAAAAGAAGTATTGAAATAATCTCTATGGCGGTAACTAAAGAAAAGCCTATAATAAACGTCTTACAATCACTCAGTCGTCATTAAATTAATATGTTTTTAAATAAATAAGAAGGTTGAATAGATACTATTAAGTTTTTATACCAGCACATAAGGCTTAGGTATTATGTCCTTGCCAACATATTAGCTACACAAATATACAAGACTGAAGACATACTGCGTTTAAGTATAAAATTTGTGCGCATTTAATCTCACATAAATCATAATAACGAGAGACATCAAAGTCGGATCATGATAACACTTATTACTTTTACTTCAGATTATTTTATGAACTATTCTATGGAAATATTAAAAATACAGTGAAGACATCGACTATCTGGCCTAAGATATCACCTTAACGCGAACGAATCGACCTTACTACGTTATCCGACTATACATTCTTGAGATGTTTACAAAAGCAGTTATTTATTTATATTAATTTATATTATGAAGTGTTTGTGTCACTTAGCGCCTAATGCAACTCAAAAATAAATAGAAACATTAAGATTTCAAAAGGACAGCAGTGCAATACTAAAAAAAAGAACTGGAAGCTTCCAAAAACGCATCAACCGCCATCTATGTACAAAGGTGAAGTAAGAAGCGAAATAAAATGAAACATGCAAATTAAAATTGTATTTATTTTATTTATAAACTAGGTATTTTATACAACTTAACAAAATACATACATACAGTAACTAAACAGAGCAACCAAAATATAATTCATTCATACTGGCATTGGATCATAACAACTCATATTGCTGCATTCATTCCTGAGAGAGGGACACGTTACGATTGGCAAGAACCGTGTCAGTCAGTCGGCAGTCGTGTCGTACAGCCACTTACACCCACTTACAGCTACTGATGTAGGTAACGTCGGAATCAATGTAGCAACATGCGTACCACGGGACCACACCGACATAGTGTTGCCTGTGTTCTACTTCCTCTAATACTGTTCAACGTATGCTATCACTGAGTTCATAATTTCCTTCAAATGTATGTCTGAACGTGTAAATATTTTTATTTGTACTATCACAAAACACTTCGCATTTAACCGGCTGAGTCGAATGAACATAACTTTTAAATAATTCGTTATTTTAAGCTTATAACAAAAATTAGGGCTAAGCCGAACAATATAATGACAACTCAATCCTTAAGACAATTTAATATATGACGGTTTTATAACTATAATGTAAGAAGCCAAATAAAGAATAATAAAGGAATAGATTTGTGATGTAAATAAAAATAATAAAAAAGCTCTAATTGATATTTACAAAAGTAATCAGACTGTGGTAACGCTAAGACATGAGGACCTGTATACTATAATAAGTAGACGATAACAAAACATACGAGCCGCCGCCGCCGCCGCCAGCCAGCATCAATACGTGCGACTATACCGTACTGCGGGCAGCATGTACTAACTGTAAGCGAGACGTATTCATTGAATTCCCGAACATAGTCTAGTGCTTTATTACTATAATTTACCACTGTTGAACCAGTCGCCGTGTCGTGTACTATACATACATATTGTTTCTCCGAGTAAACATATGCATGGCGCGAGAGTGGCGCCCCCTCGGCCGCGCTACTCCCACTCACAAGCTACAGCTAGCGCAGTAAATAGCATAATTTAGAACAAAACAGTTTAAAAAATTCAAATATTGCAAGAACTTATCACAAAAATTATTCAAAGTCTCCTAATTCAATTATACTATTTACAATGCAAAACAGGGTAATTTACACTTCGTTTGTTTTACTAAATAATTTGTCATTTTTAGATAAATATCTCCATAATGTAATATAAATTTATATATATGATGGCCTAAATAATAATACTAACATTTGTAAATTAATGTTGCTAGCCGGGATAAAGTAAAATATTGATGTGAAGCCAAATACCTATTACGTCCAGGAACTATTAAAATCATAGGCTTACTTATACCGACGAACCTTATCCCATATATCTACTAACGTTAACGTATTTGGGCAGCATGATATCTATAAAACGAGCTATAAGTTACGCGGTGAGATATACAGTATTACAGTATCGTTCTATATGCTGACCGTGGTCGACCTGGCGATATCGATACTTGCGACGTTTGCAAACGAAGTCTCGATTGATGTGCGTTTTGATCCTTTATGGTCTCGTAAGTTGTGCACGATTGTTTATTAAATTATTACTACGACAATTGACAATAAAAGATATCAGTGAGCTACGCATGCGTCTCAATGTGATGATACTTCGTTTAGAAACGTGTCAAGTACTGTTCTGGGCGACATGGTATCCTGGCTTCTACACTGAACACATTGGAGTCCGTCCCGGCAACGCTGTCGGCTGTCTCACTCACGCCCACTGCCGCTCGTGTAAGTGCGTCTCCCTCACGCAGGAAGCTATTACAATATGCAGCAGGACGCTGAACAACAACTGCTAGAACCACCTTTACTTTTTTGCCGTTGATCTGGAAACAGAGAGAAGGATATGTTTTAGTTGAGTAAACAAATAACAATTTTATGTAGATACAATAAATTCTGTTTTCATTAAAAATTTACACAACATACTCTAAGTTTTGCCTACTTGTAAAACTATTTTACGTGACACTCCTATTCTAAAGACAGCCTACATACCAATTATGCTTAAATACACAGTTGATCTGCACATCTTACTAGAACATATTACCTAAGTCTAGAACTAGAAACTAGAACCAATGGTAACTGAGGGTAGTACAGTAAGTAGTACAAGGTATTGGTAGAAGAGTGGACTTACAAAAGGGAAGGAGGTAGGAAACAGGACAAAGGATCATTAGGTCCACCGGACTTCTGTAAAACAAGTCTTACATTTAATTGCCAGCACTATTTTTGGAAAAATAGTCTGCATAGTCTATTTACTGCACTATATTACTTTTCAAATCTAAAGTACAAATTGATACAGCTAAATAATAATTAGGACATTTATGTATTCAAAAACTTTAATTATATTAATATTAGTGTTTTATTTTAGTGGAGTCCACATGTTAAACATACAGTCACTCAAATAAGTCTTCTTTTAAAAATACCCTTATTAAAGATATAAAAAAATATGAACGCCCATTAAATTCAATTGTAGTAAGAATTCAAAACAAATATAATTCCGACCACTAATAGAATTTTTTCTATTTTAGAAATAAAAGCTAAACCAAATAAACCATAAAACATAGTTTGAGGAGTAGGAAAGAAATACCAAGCCTCTTTTTGTCGACTTTTAGAGGCTAATAAATAAAGAATGATTAACAGAAATGTATAGTTACCATGTGAGTTAGGCTCGGGCAAGTGCTCGCGCGGCACTAGGTGCATGACCGTGGTGCGTCCGAGCGGCAGGCCGAGCGCGCCCAGCGTCACCGAGCTGTGCAGGAACCGGCCCTGGTAGATCAGTCGCAGGATCTCTGCGCGCGACACACATTCTGTTGCCCAGTCCGCTGGAATTTTACAATTGGGAATTTCAGATGGTTGTTTATTTTTAACATAAGATAAATGGAGGATGTTATATAAGAGTGACTAACTTAGGTATGTACATACATACTGATAATATTTTATCTAAAGAAGAAAATATATCGCTAAACTATGCCATGAGTAGCTACTGAAAAAAAACTTTCCCATAGCATGTTTATTGTATTGACCACAAACAACTGATATGCAATTACAACCAAACCATGTAAATAAAAAAAATTAAAACAATAACTAACCAAAACAAAAATTGGCAAAATAACAAAAATAAATGAAATACACAGAAAAAAGAAGAAAATAAATGTCGAAAAAGTTACAAAAAGTAATGTTTACACATTGCCCCCAGAGAGATTTGAACTCTCGACCCCTGGTTTACAAGACCAGTGCTCTAACCCCTGAGCTATGGAGGCTGACAGTTGAAGCGCCGTAAATGCTGATACCTATTGACGGAGCGTCGTTTACACACACTGGAATGAATCATACTCATAAACGCACACTAGTAAACATTTATCAAACACAGTGTATTCGCATCCTAACAACTAGATGGCGCTGTTATACAGGGAAATGATGGCCCAAAATTATAAGATTAGATTTTTTTCTTTTGATGAAGACTTCGATTGTTAGATTAATTACAGTTTTTTTAATGAGCATAGTAAACATGGAGGATGTATTTAGTTGTAAATTACCACCGTATTCTACCCGTCCAGTAGTAAAGCATTGCGGAACAGCACACAGTTAACTATCGCGTGCCTCCCGCACTAAGAATAGGGGTGGTAAGAGTAACAAACGATGTGGTCTTTTATTTTCTTATTTTTCTGAATAAAACAGTCGCTTTTCACGGTTAAACTTATGACTCACATAAATTCACATAAAGTACTTATCTAAATGCTGAATAAAATAGATTGTTTAATATTGATAAACTCTTAATTGGTGTTTTAGTAGTTAAACCATACTTGGACAATTTTTCTGTGACTCTGTTTCTAACAAAAAAAAACCAATCCATTTTTTTAGTTATCCTCACAAATCCCTGCACTGAAACCCCTATCTAGCTCGAGTAGGTGCCTAACCGTAACATGTCACAGGGACTAGCCGAACTAACAAGCAAGCTTCATAAATAACCGTCCGCCAGGAGGAGCCACTATCGGGCGGGACGCAACGACAATAATTCGTGAACTAAACACGAACCACGCCGTTTGCTCGCCGATAAATATCAACATATCTACAACTTCTACAATGTAGATAAACTTGGACATTTTATTGAGACTTTCTACTTCAGTGAAAAATCTTTTGGAATATTCTACAAGTTAGAATGCGGTTATCTAGTGGCTTAATTTTGGTTGTGCATGCGATAGCGTGGTCCAATTTGTGGTCGACGGAATTTGGAGCTTCTGCGGTAGCCGCGGTAGATACACGAGGCGTAGCGTGAATTTTAATAAGATTATTACCACTATTTTCGTACTTAGGTCGTTATTTTGAATGCCAAGAAGTAGGTATGTATTTGAGTGTACAATTATTATATACGCATTTATTTATAAGGAAGTAAGAAATATTAAAAAGATGTTACCTAGTTCCAGCCATATGTATATTAACTGCTTATGTCGGATTTTTCATATACATGGTGATGCATTTTATGATTTTATATGTTGTATAAACCAAGTATTGAGGTAAAAATATTTTAATAACAGTGTAGTCATCGACGACATGACACATTACATTGATGACCAGTTTAAACTACAATTACAACCAGTAAAAACATAAATTGTAATTTACTACACGTTTGCAGCCAAAAAACAGAGATAATTGGTAGTTTTTGTTGTGGCAGTTGGAACCATTATTATTTTTACACGAGTAAAGCCTGAGGCTAAACAATGATATTATAGCGTTGTAATTACAACAATTATCGTATAAAGGCATGTCTACACCTACTCGAGCGGTAACTGACCTCGGGCAACGAGCGCGCATCGGCACATTTGCACTTATTGCCGTTTTTTTGCGCGCGAATGTGTGTGTCAGCCATTCAGCCATATGTTTTTCACACCATGTGTTTTGGACAGGACGGATATAAAAATAAATAACATACGTGAGAGTCTTCCGTGCAATATTTGTTATGATTTTTAAAACATTTAGGTGTATCTAAATTTGAAAAAAAATATGGGTTTGGCTTTCGACAAAAGCTCCGATTTGAAACGAGTTACCTAAGCCTTTTATTTTAAGGTATGACTATAAGAATGTTGGTTACTTCGATATTTGACGAAAACAGGAAAAATATTAACGGAAAAACCTTATTCTAGCAAGTTAATGACGAATTGATACCTGTTTACAAAAAAACATGATGGAACCTGACACTGGAAGCGACCATAAATAGTATTTAACATATTGTAAGTAAAGCCGAACATAATGTCATGTATATTGTATATGTAAGTACGTACTTTTCTTTTATGAAACGTTGGATAAAAGGGAACCGACAAAAACATAATAAAATTACCATGAACATAAAATCTTGGGAATTGTAAGAAATGTAAGAATCCTACGTGTTGCTAGCGTGGAACCGTGAAACGTATCAGAACATTTTAATAACACATCGAGTCTCTTTAGCGTTTCCAGACACGTAGCGTCTATGTGAGAAGGTTGGTGGCTTAATTCTCGAAAAAAAAACATGTTTTTTTATTGAATTCCAAGGCTTTATTTTGTTGATAGATAGCGACTAGCTAAATATTTCGCATCTACATACCTACTTTGGAAGTAATTTGTATATTTCCAATTTCTACAAGGTGTTTTTTAGAAAAATGACGTCAGTTTCTAGTAATTCGCTTGATAAAATTTCGTTTCCCAAAAACATATAATACATTTACGTCATATTCCTACAAAATAAAGTAAGAAAGTTATGAGACAGATCCTAAAATAAAAATACATAGCAAGTTCTACTGATTTAGAATCTACGTCACACTAACTAGCTATGACGTCACACTAGGTCACTGCAAGGTCAACCAAAATATTCTGTGAATGAATGCAATGTTAATTGGAATAGTCTTCACCTTCATACAACTCTTCGCGAATTGATACTAATCAATACATGAATGGCAATCATTCGATTTCGCACATCTTCAAAAACTGTTAAGTAAGTACAAAACATATTTTTTTATGTTTTTGGATTTACCAGCTTTATGAGTAGTAATTATTTAGTTTCAATGAACGTATTTATTTATTTATCAGCTTTCCACGTGAATTTTTTTTGTAAAAAAGAATTATTGACACTTTTATTTTTTTAGGTATAAGTATTATGATGTTTGACGACTATTTCGTCTAATTGGTTGGCTGGCTGTTAGTTTACTAGAGGTATAATGAAAAATTACAAAGAACTCGTCTGATTATTTAAACAACTAACAATATCACTTCTTTTCGCCATCACCAGTGCCTCTCATCCAATTAACTGACTTGCATAACAGCGCATCGTAGCTAATTCGATAGTGTTACCATATCAGTTGCGTGGCCAATTTGAACCTTATATCAAAGCAATAAATAACATTGCACAACTTCAGGACTTTCGAACCCAAACTGCCTTTACTATTACCAGCCAGTCCTTTGTCAAACACAGACAGGACAAATATCATCAATTTTGAACACCCTGTGCATGAATACCAGCACATTAAGCTACCCTGAACAATAAAAGATTTTTAACTTTAAAACTAGGCAATAGAGTCGAAATTTCATTAAAGAATTTTGACAGTTTTGGTTACTTTGATATACTGGTATCTACATGTTGAGTATATTATGACGAAAACAGGGACAAAGTGATTAGTTTGAAAAGTAATTTCACAGTAGGGCTGAGTTAGGAATGGGCAAAACACCGCAGATGTGGTTTTACTACGATAGTAAATTGATTAGAATTTACATATTAATCGTATTCTTCAGTTCTTCTGAAGCCTTTGTAACAAACGATTCTGTTACTTAG